AAGATGTTGTATAGGGTTCTGTTTCCTTTTTCTGCTGTTCTGAGTTGCTACAGTACATTTGTGCTCATTTGAATAATGTTCTTATACAGCTCCTCTTGTGGGAACTTGGGTTGTTACCAACAGAGTACAGAGAACAAACCCCACTCCGTTCTAGCACTGCAGATGTTACCTAGCTGAGTAATGAAACATTTGCAAGAAAAGAACCAAGCTCAGAGAACCCCAAGGACTGCACAACTGTATCTCCTTTGGGGTTTTTTTCCTCCCAAATAAACTTGCATGGTGGATTTGTGGCTATATTTATGACAGACGCTCGGTGGACTAGCTCCTGTCAATAAGCACTGATCCCTTTCTTGATAGGAAATTAAAAGGAAAGCCTTTATTTTTCCATCCATGGCTTTAGAAGGGGGTAACTCATTACCATCCTAGCAATGCATAATTTAGGAAATGAGCTTTTCAGGTGGGACTGCCTTCTTTGCTCTGAGGGGCTTAACTGCTTCCTTTCCTCCATCCTTAAGCCATATTCTCATTATCACCAATTTCATTCTTCATAGTATTCCTTTTAAAAACTGCTGAAAAGTCTGTTTGCAAATAGGGCAATTTTCATAAAGGTGCATTCTCCACTGTAGAATTATAATGCCATCTGTAATCCTTGAGTTAGTAAAATGCTGGCATAAAAGGTGTTGTCTGTGTCCTACCTTTGTTCCAAGTCACTGCTGAATGGTTTGTCCTGATTTGTCTGTGCGTACCATTCACTATAAGCAAAGTAATTGGTTTTCTTCTGTGGCTTTGCTGCCCAGAGTCCACTGGAATTGGGTGGCCAATAAATTTAAATAAATAACAATAAATAATTCCATACAATGTCTCACCAACCAGCAGAGAAAACATCCACCAGTCAGAGACTTGCAGCAGGAATGACATGAATTTGACTCTGCCCAGTCTTCTCTAGGCTTGTTGGCCTGCTGCTCACCCACATCATGCGTGGGCATTTCCCACATTAAAAACACTGTGAAATAAGGATACCCATAGAAAAACACCAGAGTCAAAATAGCCCCAATGAGGAGGGTGGGGGTTCTGCCAGACTAATTAGATCTTATGGAGAGGGAGAACTAAAACTGATTAGCTCCTAGGCAGCCCTATCTTTATTCCAAGCTGGGGGTAAGAGATTGAAATTGACAGATGACAAAAGTCCAGTTTAACCACCTTCCTTATTCTCCAAACACTGTACAGTACTATGGAATAGCTGGGCTGTTGCATCTTATGTTACAGATACATTTGAGAATACTTACTGTTAAAGGGGGATGGTGAAAAACTTCCTTCTCCCTAAATGAAATAGTGAAGGTTTGGTCTCTTCCCTACTGTGCTGTTTGAAGTATAGAAAAAAAATGGTATCAACAGTAGTGCATGCTCACACATGTATGGGAAAGTGATACAAATCAAAGAAACCCAGGAACCAAACACTTATTGAACCTTGTGAAGGCTGGGAGAGAACGGCTTTGGTGGAGGCTGGTTGGAGACTAGAATGGAAGAGATGCGCCTGCCTCTTCCAACACTGCTAAATCACACCTTTGATCATGTTCACAATGGGCCAGCTGACTTTCCCTCTGGAGAAATGACTGGTGATTTTACACACCTTGAGGCTATCATTAGATGATGTTGGAGTAAGGGGTAGCATGCTACTTTTATATTTGTACAGCTCATAAAACTTAGGCTATCTCATTTATGGGCTAAGGATGGAGCAAGGGCAGTGTTGTAGAACCAAGAGGGAAAATTAGTGCTGTCGAGGTAAGATTGTGCTGCCTTAATGGAAGATGGGGGACAGGCCCAAACAGCAGATTTCATCATAGTGTAACTGTTGTTCCCTTAATCAGTCTTCTTTGCCTCAGTAAGTCCCACATCTTTAATTTTCCTGTTGATGAAGTAAAAGGAACTTTGTTGTGTTTCTACTTTTTTAAAAAATAAGTTGAAATCTGTCTAAATTTCTTTTGGAAAGGCAGTGTGACTGTAATAGATTTAGTAGGCTTCTGTAAGGCTATTAGCCACTGCTTGCTTGGAAGCATATCCTGTTTAATTCAAAGGTGAAGGCTGGCCTACATGGCTTTCTTTGTAAGTGTGAAAGAAGTTTCAGATTTCTAGAATATTTTATAAGATGCTGAATTCCGATTTCTGAAATGAGACAACAATATTTCTTCTGTTATCCTTTCTTGGTATTATTCAGGGCAGCAATCTTTTGGGTTGGGGTATATTTGGAAACTTGAGAGTGTGTGATGAGCACATTCACATTTTCCCCAAGGAAGGTTTGATTATTCACAAATGCCATGGGGTGGGGGATGTGCATGATCAATTGTGGAACAAGTATTGATTGGAAAGCAAGCTAGCCCCCTTGGATGCTTTGTACCATTCCAGTATTTGTGCAAATAAATATGAGGCTAGATGATTTTGGTCTGCAGCATGGTGGAGACTTGGTGGGCCAAGAGATTTGTCTGAAGACACACTAGTTCCCCCCAAGCACCATGTTATTACAGTTACATAGTCATTGCTTAACAATAAAAAGTAGTTAACTTTTCTTTTTGATTATCATTTATTTAGCAGCATCAGCATGAATGATATTAAAGTAGAAGACAATTTTTACATCAAAAGATTTAGGCTGTGAAGCTCAACATTAAGGGGAGGTAAACAGTTGCAGAAATGAGTAGAAGGAATATATGACTGTGCATTCTGCACATGTTTAGGTTATTACAGAATGGCATGTATGGCTTTTCAGAAAATGCATGTTTGGTGAAGTACATTGTTCTGAGAATCGTTAACACTTTTTCTTTAGAGTATGATACTAGATATTTCATATTGCCTTTTTAAAATGTCTGTTCTCTTTTCACATCTGAAAAGCTTGATTTTTTTAAATAAAAAAACAAATGAAAAATCACTTGTATTTCTGAAGATTAGAATCAAGAAACATCTTATATCAGTATATAAAATATAGGAAGATAAAAGGGTTGAGTGATTTTTTGAAGGCATAAAAGCAAACAGTATTTTTTTTCTGGCCTCATTGGAACAATAAAAATTAAAAACCCCTGGAGGTACAGAATAATTTAACTTTCAAATTTTTGCCTTTCAGAGCCAGCCACAAGTATAGTATGCGCAATCAACAATTTGTTCTTCCACCTTTCAGCTGTATGGCATTTATTTATAATATTATACTAGATTGACCAGAGAGAATAAGCAGGTATATACTTAAACCTCCTTGTTAAAAATATCATTTTTCCAACCTTGAATAATACAAAGGAAAAAAAAAATCTCGGTGTAATATGGTTTGCTGCTCTCAAGTGTCCCATTTGTAATGTTGGAATAAGATCCAACTGGGAGACCAGTCAGTTTTAGTATATGTAGTGGGGTACAGCATTGTTTTGTGTCAGACTTCACACCATGAAATCTCAGCTCTGCAGATACTTAACCCCTTATTTAGTAACTTGGCTTAACTTTGTAGAAAACTCTCCAATATGACACAATGATTAGAATCTTTACTGAAAACAAGAATGGCGCCTTATGCACAGTGGATGATTTGCACTTTGCAGTGCAAAGAAGTCAAATCCTTTATGTTATGTTATCTATGTTCTAGAGTTTAAACTCTAGCTTTTTCCTCCCACCTGAATAAATAGATATTTGGTTAGACTCTCAATAGCCTTAAGAGACAGGTGAACTATATTTGTATAATGGTTCTTTCTAGTCTCGGAACTGTTAGTTGCTGGCTTGCCAGATTCAGCATTTAGATTTTTGTCTTTCACCTAAATATCTTGGGCCAGCTGTAACTAGGATAAGCCCCTGTCTGAATCAAAGCCAAGCTCCATGTTGTGAAGGGGTGGATGGGTGACAAGGCTATCCTCAGGCACTATTCCAAGACAAATCACCACTTTATCTTATAATACAACCTTGTTCTCCCATTCCCACACTTATGAGTGTGGATACCTGGCTCTGGTTCTTGCTTGCATTGTCATTGTCAAGCTCCAAGGGAATTGGGCAGACCACCTATCATTTTCCACTCATATGTACTTCTTCATAGTATTGGAATGGACTGGGAAATGAACAGTTGCTTGACTCTTAGCCTGTTACAGAATTGACAGCAGTATATTTCTAAGCTTGTGAACAAGAGATTGAGAGGTGCAGCATGCACAGCTGATACTGCTAGGATAGAGGCCTAAATAACAGCCGACACTGGAAGCAAAGTATCAGCTCTAGGAAATTGTCCAGTATCCTGGATGCTGTGAAAAGTTGTGTCTGAAATCCTGAATACTGTTAAACATAGGCAGAATTAAACTAAGTGGACCAGTATTCCAATTCTGCATAAAGCAATATCCTTTCTTCATCTCTTTTTTCCTTCTTGTTAGCCTTTCTATAATTTCCCCTAAGATAATTCGCAGCAAGGGGGAAAAAAAAAGAAACATGTACACTCATTCACTCCTATTGTTGTTGTTTTTATGATAGGGTTCTTGAGAATCAAGAAAAAATGGCAAAAGAACTTCGAGAAATAATACAAAGATGTGTAAGTATTTTATTGCTTGCTGAGTTATCAAACTTGAGAATATTATTCTGATCTTTGAAAATAATGAAATCTGATCTTCATCGTTCTCTTCTGTTCTGGGGCTGTAGATATTGTCATTAGACTCATAAAAGGGTGGAAATTCTGTGTCTAAATGATCTTGGATTAGACCCCGATTTTTAGTCATGCTGGCAGGAGTTAATGATCATTGGGGTGCAACTCACTGGGAAGTCTATACTGGAAGAGGATATTAATTCTGTATTAATAGTAGTTTGAATACAATACTGTATTTAATTGAAGTAGTAAGAGTCTTACATGTTCTTGTACTGCACCCTTTTTAAAAGAATCATGTTTGCAATAGCACAATATAAGTATTGTATTATGTTTCTATATACCTTTATCTTGTGAATTATAATTAAAACATATATTCTTGCAGCAAATTCTTGATGAAGAGAATTTTAAAGGGGAAGACTTTAATCTTTTTCAAGTTGCTGGACAGAAGTGTTTGGAGGAAGGGAATATAGCTGAAGTATTGGAAGTTGTTCAAAATGAGAAAAATATGGTGAGTGAAAAGTACATATTTTTGTTTTATGTCTGATTACAAATGTGAGAGGAACAGGAGTCAATTATGCATGTTCTTTCTGTAGAGCAGAGGCTCAACATCATGGCTTCCAGATTTGTTATTTTAATTTGTTTATTTTATTCAATTTGGATGCTGCCCGACTCCAACCAACTCTGGTGGCTCACAACAATAAATAACATAAAAACAGTGGGATACCAAAAATTAGCCAAAACAATTACAAATATAACTACAAAATAATCACAATATGTCAATCCAACAACAAAGGAAACAAAAAGCATCATAAACAGGGGAACCACTCTACTCCAAGGCCTGGGTATATAGCCAGATCTTTAGGGCTTTCTGGAATGTCATCAGGGTGGGAGCTGTAGAGATCTCAGCAAGGACCTCATTCAGCTGATATAATTCCCATCCAGAAGGACCATTGGCTGATGTAGGCATGAGTTTGATAATCTGTTTTTAAGCTAGGGTATATTATCTTCGTTCCATATGTTTGATAGTAGCATATTTGCAAATGTGTGTCTAGTATATGCAGGGATTCAGAGTTTCAGTGGCATGTGGCCACAGCTAACTAAACATCCATAGCATGTTTCCTAATGTTTGTTAGGAGAAATATTATTTCAAATGAAAAAGGGATGAACTACAAAATGAAGATTGAGTTTGCATACTGTACTAAGCCATGGTTAATTGAATAAATTGCAATTGGCTGGGTTTGTATAACATGCTAAGCAATAAACCATTTTTTACACAGTTCAATAGTCAAATTGATATAACAGACTATGCCATAAAACAGATTGCACATTTTAATGCGCTGTATAAATTCAGGCTAAGTTTGAATTTGTTAAGATAGGCACATTTGAACTGTACAGGGATGTTCTCTGCTAATAAGTAATTCCTCTATTATAATCAGCCTTTTATATAAGAGTCTTATTTGCATATGGTGCCTAAATCTTGGCTTAGTGTCATATGAGCAAAACTGCGGATTTGTGAAGTCCTCCTTCTGCCCAATTATATATTTATCTGGGAAGGTGTCCTTCAGCTGGATTAATGAATGCAAGCAAAATGGTTTGCAAGCTCATGCTTTGTTGGCATGAATTGGAATTTGAGACCTTTGGGAAGTGGAAGAGGGCACGTCTCAATGACATCGCTATTTCTTGAAATTCTAGTAAAATGTGATGTTTCCTTTTTAGAGCATTAGATGCCAAAATAAGTGTGATTTTATAAAATTGTGCATATTTTGGGAGGGGGGCTTCTGATCTTTGTTCTTGTTAATTTAGCACAGGCTTTGACAACTTGATGCCTACCACCAGGTATTTTGAACTACCACTTCCAACATGTCTTTTTCTCAACCTCAGTAATTAGAGCTAATGAACTCTGAAACATCTGGATGGCACAGAACAGCTTGAATGTAGACCACTGTACTTACCTTTGATGTCTATTTTAATTTTTGTCTTTTTCTAAACCTGCAGCTGAAATTTTTCCCCCTACAGGTTATTATCAAAAATATGGGCTGGAATCTTATTGGACCTATACTCAGATGTATGCTGAAACATAAGCAAGATGATATTGAGAGAGAATATTGTATGAAAATGCTAGACAAATTGGTAGAAGTAAGTTGCAACATCTGTGCTATAAACTATTTTGGAAGTATTTCTAAAGATTGTCCTTTTGTTTTGCCCTTCCATGCTGATATAGACAATAGGCATTCTCAGATTTGTAGGTAACTGGTCAAGAAATGGGTGTGGAACTAAGGAAATTGCAATATTTAATGCCCCCATTTTCATAAATATAGTGAAAAGTGTTTTGAGAGTACGAATGAACAAAGTGATGCTCAAAGAATAAGCAACTTGTTTAAGAAAATGTTAGCTTGATTTTGGACAAACAGGATTTCTGCTAGAGCATAATGTAAATTGGTCAAGGGAAAACTCTCATTCTGAACTGCATTTAAACAGCTAAATAGAATCAATTCTGTTTTCATAGAATAACTTTTCTGTTTCAGAAAACCTATATTAAAATATAATTTGGGTTTTAATATTTAATTGCTTAGGTCAATAAGCAAACATCTTGATTGACTAAAATGGTGACAGGTATTTTATTTCACCAATTAATAAGTAAAAAGTAACTTGATGTGTAGCCATTTTAAATGCCATGCAAAACATATCCTTGTGAAATATCCTTAACATGGCAAAGATGGCCATGTAAGATAAAGATAAAACATGAAGTTTCCTTCAAATCTGCTCAGTTCTTAGTGGTATCATGGACACGTCCATGTAGCTTTCTTGGCAGTAAAAGAAGTGGCTTCCCATTGCCTTCTTTCAGCCTTATACTAGCTTTTCTCTTTCTTGCAGATGTGTAGTCCAAAAGAGCTTATATTGGGCTTCCTGGAACAGATTGAACAAGCTTCTAAGGAACAGATATCCTCAGTTATTTTGCTCCTGCTTAAGCCTTTGCAAGAAGGTAACAAGCATCTTAACTTTTCAGACTTTGAAATTATAACAGATGGGCTGTCAACATCCATTTATTTGCAGCCGAAATACTTGGGAACAATTCGCCTGATAGCTTATCTAGTTGCAGTTAAGTGGTATCTCACAGGGTTCTTGAAAGACTTCCAAGGGTATAACTGCTGTAAAATACTTAGAAGCATCCTTTATAAGTAATAGGTGTTAGATTTTAATTATCTTTAAGTTTGCTCAAGTCCTTATAGGAAGGAGAAGCAATTGAGTCCCACTCAGTCAGTCAACCTTTTGGGAGGGGTGGAGGGAGAGGCTCCTAGGATGCTTTGAACTAGAGTTGCTGAAAATCAGCACTTGTACAAATGTAAGTGAAAATCCTGAAGTGTTTTTTAAAAAAACAGAACAAAAACAAAACCTCTAAATCTCCCCTTAGATCCAGGAAGTGATGAACTATGAGGGTAAGGAGATATATTTCATGATATTAGTTTAATAGTTGTTAAATCATAATCTGGTTATGTGATGTATTTTTATTTATTTAATTTCTATAGCTGCCCATCTCAACCAAGTGACTCTGGGCGGTGAACAATTCTAAAACAATAAAAACAATTAAAAACAATATGAAAATAAATATATACAGCAGCCAAGAAAATTATCATAATTATGAAGCCATGAATGGCAGTTTCTAAAAATATGGCTAAGCATTGGCTGGATTCACGCATCTTATTCCATGACTTGTTTTAATTACAGTTTGTAATTGGTTCACATAAAATAAAGCAGAAGACATATTTCAAACACAGGGTTCAGATGTCATGGTAAACCAAACCAAACCAATCATATTATGGCTTGACATCTTTGAACCTAGCTAATGGCTGTTCTGTTCTTGGATCTGTATGACAAAAATATCTTGGTGTATAGTCAAAATAAGTAATAAACCTGAAAGTTCTGTAACAAGCATTTTGACTTTTTTTTTTTTAGCACTTCTTAAACTTGATACTAAGAAAGCATATTCAATGGGGTTGTCACTATCTACCATTTTGAACCAGCTCTCCCTTCTGCCTGTCCCTTATACAAAACAGCAACTGCAAGAAGACCAGCATGGGCTTTGCCGGTGCTGCAATGCTCTAACACAGTTTGTCAAACCATTTGTGCTTGAAATTGTTCAACATATGGAGATCACATCAGGTGGCAACTGCAACGATCTAAAGGAGGAACTACTAGGATTGTAAGTAAACCACTTTGCCTTGCAGGGGCTATATAAAGAAACCAACACTGTAGGTTTGTCAGCATATACCAGTCTAGGCCGTAACAGATGCAAGTAGCAGTTTCAGAGACTGATCTGTAGCAGAGAATGTAGGGTAAAAGAGCTTTGGTCTCTCTCCCACCTTTATTTTCTACAATAAAAGCTATTTTGTTGTAAAAGTCCACACTCATCTCAGTGATGGGCAAGAAATAGTTCTAGGGGATGGGACCAGGCTGTCCACAGGGTGTGGACATTAAAAAACAGGCCGAGCTTCAATCATACCATCACGGCTACCATCTTAACTTTTTTTTTACCATATCCTGCAGAAATGCCAGAAGAGAGTAAATACTGCTGCCTTTTATCCACCGCTTTTTTTGGCTGGAAATGAAACCAGCATGAAACCTAATGATTGAGTTCATACTTGCACTAAACTGAATGTGTTCTGTTTTACTTAATATGTTACAGGAAATTGTTTTGTAAATCATAATTCATAGTTTAGCACACCATGTAAACCAAGGCAATAGGGCTTATTAAGCAAAATGTGAACTCTGTCTATTTGTGAACTTGATACTTTTCTTGTATTTTCTCTTCTTGTTATGTTTTCTCTCTCTTTTTCCTTTTAGTTCTTTTTCTAAAGCTGTATTGGTTTAGTTCTATTATGAAATTACCAGCTTTATTTTTATTATTAAGTTACCAGCTATGCCTGAACTGATATTATTACTTTGGGAGGGGAAAAGGGTTGTTTGTGGTGTTTCACACTGATTCTGTATAACACCCGTGGATTCTACTCTAAAGAAAAGCTTGAGATAACACTTCCATTTTCAGCCGTTCTGCCAGTTCTTAGTTATAGAATACATTGTACCACCAATAACCATAAAGGTGTTGAGTCCTTGGGGTTCTCTGAGCTTGGTTCTTTTCTTGCGAACATTTCAGTACCCGGCTAGGTAACATCTTCAGTGCTAAAATGGAAGACTAGCAGAGCACATCCATGAGCACCAACTAGCAGTCAGAAGACATGATGAAAACTTGTTAATCTCAACACATGGACAGACTTAACCACAGTTTTAACTGGGAAACTGTCAGCATTTTAGACCAAGCTAAATCCAAAAATGCAACAGAATTCTTGGAAGCTTGGTATTCAGCCAAGGCAGCAATTAACAGACACATAGAGATAAACAGCATCTACATAGTGTTTGTTACAGTCCTTACACTGTATGTGGTAGATGGCTCCTGTTTTTCCTTCTTGTGCTACTG